ATATATACATATATATATATATATATACATATATAAAAATTGATTTTTTTATTTAATGTAACCATATATGATGACAGGTTAAATTGATTCTGTATTGACTCATCATTACCATTATTACTATTATTATTAGTAGTAGTAGTAGAAGTAGTAATGGTAGTATATACTAGCAGTAGCTGGTTTTTTAAAATTAGTTCACATATTTATTAATGAAAATTATTTATTGCTTTACAAAGACAGGCTTCAGCATCAGTTCTAATATATTTTAAAAGAGTTGTACAAAGTTCACAGTGTATATTATTTATGGAAACAAATATGTGGAGAAATTCATAGAATTTTATTATAAATTCTTAGATTATATTTCAAATAAATCCTATTAAGTTCATTAATTATGTTAATTCTATCAGCTGAGAATCCATTAATGTCTACTTTTATGTATTGGAAGTAAAGGGATGGAAATCACTTCACACCGAAACAATCTGTTTGTAGCCATTAGTAGTTCACGGCCTCAGTATCTGGGATCTATACCAAAAATCTTTTACCAAGTTCTTTCAAATGATCATTAATCATGTCTGCCACCCTTTGACTTAGAGGCACCTGTTTAAAGTGAATTGTCTTTCATATGTGGTTGAGAAATGAAAATGTTGATCACTGTCTTTAGTTTTCTCAAGTTGGCATAACACAACTACCATAGTCTGTGCGGCTTAAACAAAAGAAATTTATTTCTCATAGTACGGGAGGCCAATGGTCAAGAATCAATGTGTTGGACAATTCAATTCCTGGTGAGGCCTCTCTTCCTGGACTGTAGACAGACAATTTCCCTATGTCCTCACATGGTACAGAAGGTAGAGGCAGAGAGCAAGCATTCTCTCTTCTTCTTCTTAAAAAGCTACTAATATCATCCTGGGAACTCCATACAACCTCACCTAATCCTTACTACCTCCCAAAGGTCCATCTTCAAATGCAGTCAAGCCTTGGTTTGAAGGTTGTTGGTTCTACGACATTTATAGACAGCAAAATCTGTAGTTAGTTGTTATGATTTGGATGTGAGATGTCCCAGAACAGCTGAAGTGCAATATAATTCAAGAAGGTTCAAGGAGAAATGATTGGGTTGTAAGAGTCTTAATCAGTGAATTATTCCCTGAAGGGAATGAGTGGTAACTGGAGGCAGGTGGGGTGTAGCTGGAGGAAGTGGTTCATTGGGGGTGTGGCTATGGGTTATACATTTGTATCTGTTAAGTGGAGACCTCTCTCTCTCTCTCCTTCCTAATCACCTGTGAGCTGCTTCCCTATTCTGCCATGAGCTCCAAGGAATGGAGCTGTCCTGCTATGTACTAAGACCTCTGAAATTGTGAGCCTTCAAATAAACT